CTGGGTTCAGAGACTGCAGGTAACCAGGTAGCCTTTGGCAAATCATTTAACATCTCTGAGCCTTGTCTGCCTCATCTATAAAATGGGGATGCTTCCTCTCACCTACCATGAATTTAGAGAAGGTCTAATGAAATGTGGCATGTGAACATGTGCTGGATGTCAACAGATTGCTGTTCCTGGGAGCAGTACAGTGACAACTGTGAGGTGCACTCACAGGTTTTGGGGTTACTCTCTGATTAAGATCTTGACTCTGCCACAGCTAGTCAGTGGATAGTCAAGATACCAAGCCTCAGTGTCCTCATCAGTGAAATGGGAATATTATTTGTACCTATCTTATAGAGTTGTTGTGGGAGCTGAGATAATACATGGCAGATGCTGGGCCTGGCAGACAGTAAGTGCTTAGTTGTGGGAGCTCTGTTTATTTTTATGTTGATAGAGGCCCTGGGAGAGAGACGTTCTACTGAGAAGTGTCCCCCCAACTCTGCTTCCTGCTCTACACCTACCATGAGAAGCCCCTTGTAGGCATAGACGATACCGAGCCAGATGGTCATGTGGGTGTTCTCACAGTGCTCCAGGAGAGGGCGGATGGAGATGTCCCGTCCTGCTGGGTCCGGCTGTGCAAAGAGAAAACAGAAGCCCCAGGGATGGCACTGGGCACCCTTCCAGCAGCTGGGTCACTATCTCAGGGCCCTTTTCCCTCCCATGAGCCACAGCCAGTGCCACCATCCAGGAGAACTTTTGGACCCCACCTCTGTGTGCCCCCCAGTGTGGGACTCAGGCCTCAACTAGTGTTGGCTGCCTTCTGTTTGCTGGTTGTCGTTCAGCCCTGCTCTCCAGTTCTCCGCATTCTTCATGCCTCTCCAACTGAACCGGAGCCCCTTAGAGTAGGGACTGCGTCACTTCTGTGCTCCTAGGACCTAGCACAAGACCTGGCCCAGAGCAGCATATGTAACGTTTGTAGAAAGAGTGAGAGCAAGAATGAGGCACACAGTTAGGTCACAAGGCCTTCAGGTGCCTCTAGGATTAACTTGGGCAGCTGGAGATACAGGATATACTGACAGGGCCAAGCGTGGGGCATGCCAAGCCCTTCTAAGGAGACCCTCTTGCCCATTGCCCCTGTTGCCCCCATTGCCAGAAGAGTAGTGGCAGCCATGTTCTATACCACATGACTCATCCTGGGTGAGAGCTGATTGGACAAGGAGTGGGCACCTGACCCCAGGAAGCCAATCCAGAGGCTGGTTGGAGACCTATGAGGTTTCCTAGTACAAAGTGCTCTGTCCAAAGAGGGGTGATGGAGAGGATCCTCACTAAGCACATTCTCTCTCTCAGGAGTTTGAATTGGGAAATTCTGGGAGAGAATCA